CACACACACACACACACACACACACACACACACACACACACACACACACACACACACACTGAAGCAAACCACAGAGGGTTGATTTCAGCAACGAGAAATGTGCTGAGCTGCACTAAGTCGGAGCCAAGGGCAACAAAACACTAAATACAAATGCTCTACTCTGAGCCAGGGTACTTTCCCTTCGCTGCTTGCTCATGTTTAAACATTTTTGCTGCTCTTAGGTTTGGGAAAGATAGAGAGATCAGGGGGAACAAAATGTCCGCGATTTAAATCTTGAATTTAAATCTACGGAACGCACTCCCACATCTGAAACGGGTCTCTTCCAAATGTGGATAAAAAAATCCAGAGCATATCAGATATCTGTTAAAGCAACTGCAGTGTAAAGGGACAGATCAGATGTACCCCTTCACTGTTGGCTCAACCTCATCAAAATACATCGACAGGTGACGTATACACACCTGCTTCTGCCCAAACAATGCAAAGAAAACACGTTAAAAAAAACACTTTAAAGGGTAGTTTGCCGTTAAAAAACAACAACACTTCTCTTTCAGCTATGTTAAGACTGTCTGGATGATATGACAGTTGAATATTATTAAAATATGGAACAATCATCCCTCTCAGGCCCCTCTGTATGTCTCTCTATTTTTTTTTTTTTAACTTGTAGTTGTTATTTTTAAAAGACACCACGCCTTGACAATAATACCCTATCCGAGACAGTAGAGACAGAAGGCGTGACCGAAGGGCGTTGTCAATCATTTGCCGTGCACACGCAGGCACACGCCGTAGCCTCATGGGACACCCAACAGTTTCCTTGGCTGGATTATTTACCTAAGGTTAGTGACAAAAGTGAAAAAGAAGTAAATGGACAGCTCTTAAGAAGAAGAAAAAAAAAGAAGCAAAGTGAACAACACAACACTGCATCATGAATAAGTCATGCTCGCAAAGTAACAGACGTGGCTCAGAATGGCTTGTTTACCATGCGTGTTCTTGTACAGTGCACATCTTGTGCACGTTCACGTTAGTGAGGGGCTTGGCTTTGGACAAAGACTCACTGGGGAGGAGAGGGGCAGTGAAGTGGGGCAACATTCAAAACAATCTAGTAGTTTGAAAACAGCAAATGACTCCCTCTTTAAATCTAAACAGCAAAAGCAGACCTTATGCTCTATGTATAGTACATCTCGTGGAGTGCCGATAATTCAAGGAAAGGATGGAAAGCCATTCTTGTAATACGGTCGCGTCAGTGGGGTAGAGAGCCGACACGGGCCAACTAAATAGTAGTACTTCCATGCTGTCTCGACTAGGTGTGTTTGTAAAGATACTTACGTGTAATATATAATTACCGTCATTTTGGATTTGTCACCGGAAATGCACATGTACATCGGAGTGGTACATTGGGCATATGTTTAAACGTGCATTTCAGAACAAAAAGGCGAGCAGAGAAATCTTGAATTACTCTATGATTATCTTTGTTGTCAGTACCAACGCTGTAAAACTGGCAACTTAAAAGCAATGTAAAGTCGATTTGTATACCTGCAAGACTGTAACAACCCCTTCATTCACAGATGGCGTTGTCTAGTGCAGGGGTGTCAAACTCATTTTTGTCGCGGGCCAAGTTGTAGTTATGGTTTCCCTTGGAGGGCCGTTATGAATTTTATGAAAGCAAATAAATGTTTAATTCCCTCCACATATTACATACAGAGCGCACAACAAATTGATGAATAACTAGTTTTAAAATCTGAAGTCAAGAATAATGACTGTTATTGTGGATTACATATGACAATTTGAAATTTTGGTTCAGACTTTAGCAAGCATCGTGGAACTTGACATGTTTGATTTGCTTTCGCGGGACACATAAAATGATGTGACGGGCCAGATCTGGCCCCCGGGCCTTGACTTTGACACCCGCGGTCTAGTGTACGTGTATAGATTAGCATTTGGTCAACTATATTGGGGTCACATGCCAGAGTATGAGAGATGATCAAGCGTCAGATGAATTTCAACATCTGAGACAATCCCAGCTGACTTCAGGGGTACACCCTGAACCAGTTGCCAGCCAATCGCAGGGCACACATAGCCAAACAACCATTCACACTAACAATCACACCTTGAGACAATATAGCATTTGAACAGTCATTAATTAAACCTACGTGAGTATTAATCAAGCTAACGGTTGCCCTACTTCCTACCTCCTGCCAGCAGGTGCAGGGCGAATGACAGAGTTGAGCGGCACACACAGGCAAGGAGGCCGCACTTGCGTCAGGAAGTGAGCAGCCAGAGGGAAACAACGAGGTCGGGCCAGGTAAGGACACAGTGTGCTGGGTAAAGGGGCGCTGCAGCTGAGTGTAAGACAGAGCCACTTGATCACCACCTGGGCCTGCTCCTTGAACCTCAACGCCCGCTCCTCCATAGCTCACCTGAAATATCCAAGATATACATGAACTGAATGAAACAAAACTTGTCTACTATTTACTCAGTCCTCTGCTGCCTTTTGCAACGTTGAATGAGCAGAGACGTATTTCCATCATCTGAACCACTATGTCAAGTGCTGCCTCAGAGAACTGTTGAACAATATTTTATAATGGAATTGTCTTGAAGTATCGTACAAGCCAAGCTGCTCTCCTTTGTGTGCATATTGAAAGCAGGGACAGTGCTGTGTTGCACCAGTGCAACCTGCAGCAGGCACACCTGCACCCCAGTTGTATTCGGAAGCAATTAATATAACTGTGAAACCAAATGATTAATGTGTTATGACAATCAACCCTATCAGGCAAACCCAGACCATTGAGTGTTCTGTTGACAGCCAGGTGAAACTACAGTGGCTGGCGAATGTATTCAGCCCTCTTGAACTTTTTGACCTTTTGCCACATCTCCGGCTTCAAACAAATACACTACTCACAAAAAGTTAAGGATATT